CTCGGCTCGTCTGGCAAAGTGCTAGATTGTTCCGACGATCAACACGGCGAAATAGCGTTGATAGAGATGCTAGAGCGCTCCACAAACATCATGGACCATTAGCCAAGCCGAGTTTTTATAAGTTTTTGCCTATGTGCAAATTGCAAAAACGCATATTGCAACGACCCTGTCTGTATATTTGTGTGTGTGCTCGTCTGTCCTGGTATTTCAACTGGGCAACTAAGCAAGTTCCAGCACCAAGATTTTGCTAATGGGTCCTCCGGCCAACCGGCCAAGTACCATCGAGAACCGTGATGCCAAACCCCACGCAAGTCTGGGCCCCGCGTACGAGAGGATGAAAGTTTTGGCGGGAAAACTGACAACTCCGGAACGAGAAAAGATAGAAAGTTGAAATTTTGAGGTTATGTTCCCCGCCCAAATATAACTCAAAGATTTCAAATTCAGCCTCCATATGTGCGTGGTTCCCGCGTACGGCCCCATGAGGATTCCTGGCGCGAAAATCGCTAGCTTGGGAACCAAGAAAGCAGGGGGGCTGAAATATTCAAGGAATGCTCCCAGCATAAGTATAACATAAAACTATCAAACCCAGCCCCCAGTCGCATGTGGTTCTCACGTGCGGCCTCGTGAAATTTTTTGGCGGGAAAACGGAGAACTCGGAAACTAGCAAAGCTGGGAGGCTGGAATTCTCAGAGGGTGTTCCCAGCCGATGTATGACTTAAACTTATCGAAATAAATATTTAATAAAATTGCTCCCGCAGATGCGGAACTATAGGTTATAACCAGAATAACAGTAATAATGCGCTTGGCCTTTCAGAGGCCGCCAGAGGATTTAACAGCTAAAACCTTCAGCCCGGGCGGGGATTATTCAGTCTTTCTTCCTTCTCTTCTTCAAATACCAAAGTCATCCATGCAGCAGAGGCTGCTATAGAGCGCGCGCAGTATAACAATATAAGACTTTATTGTAACCTCAAATTTGGGTTATTAAACCATACAAACAATAACGAAGCATAACAATCCCACACATAACAATCCTAAAAACCTATGTGCGCCCCATACACC